CTGGAACAATGACCTGGGACTCCTACAATTAATCCTGTCTTAATTCTGGGAGCTTGAGCAAGCTTGGACAAGCTCAGCACCTCTCAGTACCTCGATTTCCTCATTTCCTTCTCTGAGAAATCAAGGGGTCTAATGAGCCCCGGCCAGCCTGCCTCCCAGAGTGCTATGTGCCTGTAAGCAGAGCTGGGTTGTCAGCCAGGTTTAGGACTCCGGTTGTGAGGAATTTGGGGACCAAGGAGATGGTGCCTGGCCTAGAGGGGTCATGGCAAGCCCTGTAGAGCACTGGCCAGGATGCTACCCTGGAACAGGATGATCCGTGGTGTCCCGGGATCTGCCCTGCAAGGGGAGGGGGGAGGGTCAATGTCCCCTTCTAGTTATGGGGGTTGAGCGGGGGGCACTGGGAAGAGGTTGTCAGTGGAGCAACAAGCAGGCTCCAGCTTCCCTTGGAAGTGTGGCCAGCTGACTCCCAAGCCGAGGTGCCAGGCACGGTGCCGGCACATTGCCTGGCACTGACCGAGGGTGCCACGTCATCACGCCCGGCCTTGCTTTCTCCACCCATTCCCTTTCACGGTGGCCAGGTGCTCTCTCAAGAGCGTGCTCCGACCAGGTCCCTCCCCTGCTCCAAACCCTTCAATAGTTTAGGCCTAAACTCCTTTGCTTGGCTCTCAAGAGCCTTTGCGCCTTCCTCCCACCATTTCTCCCACCACCCTCCGCTCCAGACTGATCCGAGCACCTGCAGTTTCCTGAACTTGCCATCATTCCACGTCTTGAAGCCTCGTGTGTGCTCTTCTGATTGGTAGGTTGTTCCTTCTGTTATCTTCCAACAAACTTCTATTTATCCTTCAAAGCCCAAGTCAAATGTCCTCTTTTCTTTGAAGATAGACCTGAATCATGCTCCAACGAGTTGCTTTCTCCCCTGTGCTTCCAGAGTGCCCCACTCTTCTCTCTGTCATGGCACCTGTCCCACCAACTTATTATGTCTTTCTGTGTCTGCCTCCTGCCCTGGACCATGAGCTAATGGGTTAGGGGTTGTGTCTGATTTACCACCAGACGCCCAGTGCTCAGCCCAGGGTATCTAAGCTTCACGGACTAAGTTGTTCGTGGTAGATGAGCCTTTTGAGAGAGAGCAGAAGGACATGTTTGTAGATCTAGTGCTGAGCTCCTTCGGGCCTGTCTTAGCTGCAGGATGGGCAATGACCAGGTCTCTCCTGTTTTTTCTTTAAAATCTTCTTTAGTATCAAACATTATTTGGTGGCCAGAATTTCCTTCAAACCCAAAGCAAGCTGGGCACAGAGGCGCACGCCTATAGTCCCAGCTACTCGGGAGGCTGAGGTGGGAAGATTGCCTGGGCCCAGGAGTCCTGGGCTGTAGTGCGCTGTGTAGATCGTGCATCCACACGAAATTCAGCATCAGCATGGCGACGTCCCCACCAGATTGCCCAAGGGGAGATGAACCAGCCAGTGTTGGAAATGGAGCAGGCCGAGACTCCCACGCCGATCGGCAGTGGGCCGAGTCCTCATCTCTTCCAACAGCGGCGACAGCACCACCCAGGTGAGGCACGTGGACCCGGGGAAAGGGATGCGACAGGGGTCAAAAGCTCGCATTTCGAGTCTCTCCTCTGTGTAGAAAGCGGGAAAGTAACTGGCCTTCCAGGATCAGATCATGGCTGTCAGAGGGTCATTTAAACTGGAAAACACCAGCCCCTGGGATTTCTCTGACTCTGGTGTTCATGTTCCATCCAATTCTGAGTATTTTGCTTCAGACTTTTAAAATGTCTTCACCACATTTAGGAAATTGCCTCCCCAAATGGAGACTGTGTGAGCTGGTGCTGTTTAGGGAATTTCTGACATGCCAGCTTTACAACCAAGTGTCTGTCTTGGAGCCAACTTCGCCTTTAAGCTTCGTAACTTGTTTTTCTACCAAAGAGACTGCAGCGGCTGGGGCACTAATGCCAGCTGTTGCATGCCTGCATTTTTAAAAGGTTTTAATGTGTAACTGTTTAATTCTTCCCAGGGAGATATTTTCTAGGCGATAGAGATATTTTGTAAATAATATACTTATTTAGCATAGCAGGGAATGAAAAGTCAAAGTACCAGAAGTGAAACTGTTTTGCCCTAAGTCAGGTCTAGGGATGGGAAATAGGATGCATTCTAGCCCTAAGGAGTGGACTTGGAGATCACTGGGATGTCTGTTGGGCAGGGTCGTCTGGAACACTTCCTAGAGAGCTTGACCCCTCATCATAAGTGGGGAAGGCTAATTAAAGGAAATAAAAGACTAGTAGCCAGGAGATTCCAATGTGCTGAAAAAACACAGGCAGCCAACCTGCAAATTGCTAAGTAGGCGCCTGGCTTTGCCCCGCCCCGCTCTCCTCCCAACCATCCAAGCTCTGTCTTCCCTTTCCCTGGTTTTCCACTACAGACACCTACTCTCCTCTCTTCACTCTGAGGGACCCGCAGAGACAGCCTTTGAAGTGGAGGCTAAGCGGTAACTGGGGCCCCCAGGCGCCAACTGTGGATCCCTCCAGGGCTGGCACTGTCTCGTCCTCAGCCTGGGTCCAATGCAGGGCTCACTAGCGGGGTGTGGTAGTTGAGAGTGTGGATAGGTAAATGCAACACGGAAATGCAAATGAAAACTGCTGGGCCCCACCTTGCCTCCATCAGAATAGCTAAAACGGAAAAGACTGACCCTAGCAAATGTTGGTGAGGATGTGGAGCAACTAGAACTCTCATACCCTGCTGATGGGACTCCAAAATGGTATACAGCCACTCGGGAAAACACTTTGGCAGTTTATCATAAAGTTAAATATATGCTTTACCATATGACCTAGAAATTCCACTTCTAAGTACTTTCAAAAGTGAAATGAGGCCGGGCGCGGTGGCTCACGCATGTAATCCTAGCACTCTGGGAGGCTGAGGCAGGTGGATTGCTCGAGGTCAGGAGTTCGAAATCAGCCTGAGCAAGAGCGAGACCCCGTCTCTACTGTAAATAGAAAGAAATTAATTGGCCAACTAATATATATAGAAAAAATTAGCCGGGCATAGTGGTGCATGCCTGTAATCCCAGCTACTCGGGAGGCTGAGGCAGGAGGATCGCTCGAGCCCAGGAGTTTGAGGTTGCTGTGAGCTAGGCTGACGCCACGGCAATCACTCTAGCCTGGACAACAAAGCGAGACTGTCTCAAAAAAAAAAAAAAAGTGAAATGAGAACATACATCCAAACAAAGACTTGTACATAAATGTTCATAGCAGCATTATTCATGATCACCAAAATGTCGACACAACCTAAGTGTCCATGAACAGGTGCATGGATAGCAAAATGTGGTCTGTCCACACGATGGAATGATACTTAGCCATAAAAAAGAATCAAATGCTGACACATGCTTTGACATGGATGAACCTTGAAAACATGCTAAGTGAAGGAAGCCAGACACAAAAGACCACATAGTGTGTGAATCCATCTATACGAAATGTCAAGAACAGGCAAATCCATACACAGAAACTAGATTAGGAGTGCCTTGAGCTGGAGGGGGAGGGGGAAGAGTACCAAGGAGCACAGGATTTCTTTTTTGGGGTGCTAAAAATATTCTAAAATTGGTTGTGGTGATGGTTGCAAAACTCTGTGATTTACCTGTATACCAAAAACCACCCAATTGTACACATGGAAAGGGTGAATTGGTGTGTGAATTATATCTCCATAAATCTTTTTTAGAAATAAATGAATAAAGAAATAAGTATTGATGGTAATCATTATTCAGCCTTATTCCAGCAGTCTTGCAGCCAGAGTCATCCCGTAATTGGCAACCTGCAGATTGACTCAGGCTGTGGGATCTGGTCTGGCTAGTGGTGTTTTAAAACAGAGTGTTATCTCTGCCTTCGGGCTGGCCATGTTTCTCCAATCCTCTGTCAGGGCACACAGGATTTACTTATTTACACAACCTGATTGGCTCGATGTGTTCACCCTTGTCCAAGGCAGGGCACCTCCTGGATGCCCAGGGCAGGAGGGACAGGCCCTGGCCTGGCCTGAGCCTCTCTAGAAGCTGTACCCAGCATGTTCATGGGTGTTACACAATGAGATGACACTGCACCAGCCCGTAGGGCTGGCTCACGGCTGAAGTGGCAGAGTGGAGCCTGGGATCGGGCTCACAGTCAGCCTGAGACTTGTCTAATGTGCTACTGCATGCTCTTTTACATAATAGCTAAAGTAGACAACATTTATGGAGCACTTACTGTGTGCATGCCCAAGAGTAAACCTTTCATATATCATCTCATTTAATCTTCACTTAACCTAAAGGGGAAGTTCTAGAGTTATCCCAGTTGGATGGTTGCGTACCTTGCTCAAGGCCACCCAGTGGTAGGTGGTGGAGCAGGGATTGGGACTCCAGGCCAGACTGACATGTGGCCTCACCAGGGTCAAAAAGGTAGAGCGCCACCTGCTCCTACCACACCGTAAGAAGGTAGCAGCAGAGAGGAACACGGGCATGCCCAAGGGTCGGACAGCCAGACCCAGGCTGTGGGTGCTGCCCCAGATAAGGGCACCCCGGAGCAGAGTATTTGCCTGTGACCAGCAGACAAGGAGGGGCAGAGGAGCAGCAGGGGCCTGGGAGCAGGAGGAGTTAGATCGGGGAACTGACCAGACAGAAAGGAGGCTGCTGGGGCGATTTACCACCGCTAGGAAGGGAGGCAGGAAGGAAAGGAGGAAGGAAATGCTTAACAGCCCAGTGAATATTTAGAAGATGAGTGGTTTTATTCTTGGTGGTTTGGCTGGTCGGTTGGTTTGGGGGGCAGCAATAATGGATAAAGCATAGGTTCAATTGCCTGTTTGAAGAAGTTCCTGAACTTTCTTATTTAAAAAAATCCCAGCAGCCCTGCATTTAGCTCCCTGAGCTCCTGCCCTGCCAGATTCTTCTTTGACTCCCCCCACTCTACCTCCCATTTAATAGAAAGACTCAAAATCAAAATGTTGATTTGAAACATTTATCCATTTAAGAGACATTGGGCTGGGTTCACGCTTAGAGACAGATACAGGTCACTTTATTATGTAAACTCATTATTAACCTCACATAATCAGTCTAAAAAAGAGACCCGTGTCATTGCCAGGTGGTAATGGTAACTGCAGCCGGAGTTACGAGCGCCTACCCCAGCAGGTGCTGAGCACACCGCCATCCACACACCTCCCACTGTCCTTGCACGGGCGGCTCTGCCTCCCGTCTAGAGGAGCCGCCTGTGGCTCAGGGGTGTCAGGGCACACAAGTGCACGTGCGTGCAAGCTCTCCAGTGTCTGGTCTTTTAGAGTGGATGCTTTTCTCGTTATCTGTTTTGGCCTTTGCTGATGGCGGTCATAGTGCTTTCTGCAATGGTGCCAGCTTTCCTTGCCCAGCTCGTTAACAAACATTCCAGGCGGGTTTATCAAACTGTGGGTTATATGGGAAGTCCTCATTCATTAATCCATATGACAGCCTAAAAGCAATAAACAGGAAACTCTATTCATAAAAAGATATGAATTAAATAGTACTAATCCTAAGAACTTGGTAGAATTTTTAAAAATGTATTTGCAAGTTCCTCTCTCCTTTGTACTTCATTAGTTCAAATGACATAGTCTTTTCTGGTAGCAAGATCAAGAAATCTACCACGTAGCTGCTGTTTCTCCTTCTGGTCATTCAACAAGTGTTTCCTGAGGACTCTCTGGAGAGGGTCAAGGCAGTGGGCACAGAAATGAACGAGACCCTGTCCTGCCCTGCAGACCTCCAGGCCACTGGAGGTGATCGCTCCTGAAATAGCAATGAACGCCAGGCCTGGTCCGACATGAGCTGTGGGAAAGGCTCAGCTAAGATGCAGGAGAGTGCAGAGAAGGGAGAGGGCTTGCCAGTCCAGGGAACAGGCGCGGCTGCAGGGTGGTGAGAATGGACAGGAAGACACGGTGAGGGAGGGAAGCCAGGTCTGGGAGCCCAACTCCCCCTCCTCTCACACGCACAGCCATGTGCCAGCAGCTGTGCTACACACACGATCTCCATCATGTGATTTGATCCCCAGCGCTCCCCGCTAAAGCAGCTGCTACTACACCCCACCTTTCACATGAGCCAACAGAAGCCCCCAGAGGTTAAGCCACTTGCCCAAGGTCCCAGGTAAGTTCCAGAAGCAGGCTTTGAATCCAGCTCTTGGAAGCCAGAGCCCCTGCTCTTAGGTTGATTTACTGTTTTCAAAGAACTTTCAAATATGTTATCCCATTTCATCTTCCTGTACCCGAGGTTTCTCTATGTCTCACCGGCCTGTTGGCACAGATGAGTCACCCTACCCGTAATGATCCCTCCCCCTTTGCTCGCTCAGCCCGGTCCTCCAGCCACCTGCAAAGCCTCGCCACCTCTGGCGGGAGTCCCCAGGGGCGTCTGCAATCTCCTTTCCTCCTAAACCCCCACTAAAGCTCACTGCCCAGGGAGGCAACTGGAGATCCCCCTCCAGATATGGGGCCCCTTTGAGAGGTGGCCAGCTCAGAGTGAAGAGACCACGGTTCCAGTACCCACTGAGTGTGCGACCTCACGACCTCTGTCATCAACCCTTTGGGAGCCTTGATTTCTTGTCTGTGAAAAGGGACAGTGCAGTTTCACACACATTCCCAAAGCAGCAGCCAAATGTGACACAGCAAAGCAAGTGCCCTAAGGAGACGGGAGCAGCAGCTCCTGGCACTGGCGAAGGCCCCACATCAGCAGGCACACTCCCAGGCCCACGGGGGTGAGCACCGAGAGAGGGCGAGACTGCTGGGCAGCCTGTCCCTGGCTGGGGGAGGCCCGCGGGGGCCGTGCACCCAGGCCTCAGCACATGCAGGTCCTGTGCTCGGAACTCGGCCGTCGTCTCCCCACTTCATCCTCCCCAAAGCCAGCGTGGTAGGAACCCGTTTTATTCCCGTGTTAGAGACAAGGAAAGTGATGAGGCTCAGAGAGGTGAAGTCACTCGCCAAGGTCACACTTACGCCCAAGGTCGTACGTGGCAGAGTCTGGCAGAATGAGGTCTGAGGGCCCCTGAGCTCGGCTCTGAACTGCCGTCTTCGCCTCAGTGTGGCCGGTAAATGCCGGCGTGGAGAAGCCCACTGACTGCTGATGCTGTTCAGCGCCGTCCCTTCCTGTGTTAATGCCGCTTGGGCTGGAATCACACGTTGTCCCCCGCCTGCACAGTCAGCTGGGACAAGAATTCCTGGAGCTCACGTAGGATCCAGGGGGATCCGCTCCAATTCACAGGGAAAAAATTAAGCTGATGGCCAGGGCTGTTTCAATGGAGTTTTCCTCCTTTGTCCTTTTCAGAAAACTTCAGAGCCCAGTGCCCCTGCTCCTGCCGGACTCAGTGTCCGATGGTATGTGACTGACCAACAATAACCACATCGTGAACAGCACCCAGCCCTGCCGAGCACTTTCCACGCGTCGCCTCGTTTAACCCTCACGATGACAGCATGGGACAGACTTTGGGTTTTTGTCTTACTGAGAAAAGCACCAAGGCTCAAACAGAAGTGTCTTGCCAGAGGGGCCCAGTTAGTAAGCAGCCGAGCAGGTGCTTGAACAGGTCAGCCTGGTGCCCAGCCTGTGTCTCGGCCACCACCTCCTACCAAGTTTCCTACTTTCCATGTTCCTGGTAGTTCTCAACCCAGGCTGCAAACTTGAAATACCTGGGATGCTTTTTTAAAATACTATAGCCATGCCCATATCAGAACTATGAGATCAGCCTCTCCAGGGGTGGGCCGAGGTTGAAGACCTCAGCTCTAGGAAGTTCCTGGTGTTCCAACAAGAACACCTGAGGCTCCAGGGCGTGGTCAAGCCTGACAAGCCCCAGAACTAGCAGGAGAAGGGAACGGGACTGGCAGAAGAGGTGACATTTAGCCAGTTCTTGTCCCTGTCACCATCCCTTCCATCTCCTCTCCTTTTCCAGCCTCCCTTGTGGTCTGACACCCTTCAGCATTTGGGGTAAAGATTTCTATGTGGCCTCTACCCTAGATGGTGTCCTGTAAGCCCGGCACATACTAGGTGCTCAATGAACATTTGCTGAATCAATTCATGAAGAGGCTCCTGCAGCCATTCCTCTCCGCCAGATGGGATTGCCTTGATTGATCTGTGGGAGTTCAAAGGACACACACAATGCGCCCCAAGTCACCCACTTTGCAGATCACATGACCCTCCCATCAGCAGAAGACAGGGTGCCCTGGTACCACACCTTTCCCAGCAATATGTACTAACTTTACAAAAGAAATCCTTTCTAATTTAATAGGTTGAAAACAATCTCGGTTTTGATTTGAATTTACATTTCTTTGAATACTGGGGAGGATGAACTTTTTTCTTCATATGCTTATTAGTCATTCGAATCACTTCTTCTGTGAATTGTCTGTTCCCAATTTACTAATTTACAACGAGAAATGTAACTGCCAAAGGGACCAGATGCACGTGTCCTGCAGCCAACACACCAGCTCCCTGTAGGCACACGCCACAGAAAGCCAGATGCAAACCAGAACATGCTCGGGAGCGCGGTTGCAGGATTCAGCCTTGCACGGCACCAGGGCAAGATGGACTTGCTGGGATCCTCCTCCTTCCTCTCTCCCGCCTCCCTGGATGCCCAACCATTCTTCAGAAGCACACGTTCTTTCTTAAAAAATATCGCCACATCCATTTAGGGCTCTCTCTCTGGCCGAGGGTCCAGTCTGGGTTGTACACTTGGACTCTCAGAAGGCGAACTTCATTCTGAATCTCTCTGCCTCCTTGGGCTGCCTACTCAGTCCTGGGGGTGTAAGAAGTGTAGCGGATACCTTGCAGGTGCCTGCCTCCCCCGTTGTTTGGAAATCGTCCCTTTCTTCCTTCCAAAGCAGCTTCAGGGGGCTCAAAACTCCACAGTGCATTCCGTACTGTGGGCTTTTATATACCTGTGCATCTTCCTGGCATGAGAAGCAAGCCTTTCCTCAGACTTGCAGAGGGGTCTCTGACTCCCAAAAGGTCAAGATCTGTTGCTACAGAGCAGTATGAGAATGCCAAGGAAGGTGCTAAATGCTGTAACCCCAAGAACGACAGCAATCAGAAAGCGGAGCTAGTGGCCTGGGAAGGCTTCTGGAGCCGGAGGCAGCAGAGCTTGAAGGACAGACAGGCGAGACTCCACTCAAGGAACGGGGAGGACTGCAGGCAGGCAAGGCCTGGGTGCCTCTCCTGGCTTTCAGAGCCTGGGTCCCACTTTCCTGTCCAGGCCCGCGCCGCTCCCCAGCAGACTACCCTTCGCTGCTGAGCACGCTGCAGGGCCCGCGCCTCCGGCCGGTGCCAGGCAGGTTGCGCGGCCTGGAGTGCCCTCCCTGACTGGGCCAACTCCTCGTCATTCTTTCAGGCCCCGCAAAAGTCCACTCCTCCCTCCGTGGGACCCTCGGTCAGAGTGCTTCCCACACTGCTGAGAGCCACTTTCCAGAGCGCCCACCTCCGCCGCACCGTTAAGAACCTTGACACGAAATATCATGTTCGGCTTACCTGGGTGTCCCAAACCTCCAGCATAGAGACCTCATGCAGGAACCGCATGCACTAGACATGCTCAGGGAAGCAACACGTGGAGAGAATCTGGAGACCTGGGTTCTCATTCTGGTCCTTGGGTAAATTCCTTATTCTCTCTAGACTTCAGTTTCCTTGTTTGTAGAAGGAGAGCGTTGGGACTTGACTATCTTGCAATGGTCATCAAGACTTACTCCAGTCAGGTGCAGTGGCTCAGGGCTGTAATCCCAGCTCTCTGGGAGGCCGAGGCAGGAGGATCGCTTGAGCTCAGGAGTTCAGGACCAACTTGAGCAAGAATGAGACATTGACTCTACTAAAAATAGAAAAAAAATAGGCAGGTGAAGTGGCGCATGCCTATAGCTTACTTGGGAGGCCGAGGCAGGAGGATGGCTTGAGCCCAGGAGTTTGAGGTTGCTGTGAGCTAGGCTGACACCATAGCACTCTAGCAGAGGCAACAGAGTTAGACTGTCGTAAAAAAAAAAAAAAAGGACTCCATTCAAGGCCCTATTCTAGAAATATAGATACTTGTGATAATATAACATATACTACAATAATAATGTATATAAGTATTATATGATAGAATAAAAATATGAAGACAAAGTCTTTGGAGTTACTTGCAGTCTAGTTCTGGAACCAAGGAAGGAAAGCAGGACCAAGACTTTTTAAACTTTGGGGGAGGAGGCAGTGTTCCACTGCAAGAAACCTTATGCTACTGTTGGCCCCCACAGGCATGTGTGGTGAGGTGACATGAGCCCATGCTCATGTGGCAGTCAGGCGGTGCACAGCTCAGATCCCTGCTCTGCACCCTCCAGCTGTGTGACTTTTAGCAAGTCACTTTCCCTCTCTGAGCTTTGAGAACTGGAGTTTGTCTTGCCACCTCTGGGAGTTGCTGTGAAGACTCAGTGGGATGTAGGACTCCGTGAATATTAGCAGTTCTTTTCCTGTATTCTTTCCTTCTTTTTCCAAGGAATATAAGCCACAAGGAAAGTGAGATTGGACAAGAGACTTCACCCCTCTAAGACTCAGTTTCCTCATCTGCCAAATGTACACAGCAGGGATGCCCCGAGGGCTGGTTTGAGGTACACTGGGATTATGGGCGCAGCAGCTGTGCTGGGCTGATGGGTGAACGTGAGCTTCTCTCCCAGCTTGGCAGTGGGGTATAAACCCCAGCTCCACCTTCTTGGGCAGAAAGTTTAGAACAAGGGATTCAGACACATTCTAGAAACAGTCACGAAGGAAGCACAGTAAGGAAAAAGAGTCGGAGGAAGGCTCTGGAACACGTGACGGTTTGCTTTCTCCCATCAGAAAGTGCTCTTGAACAAACAGCAAGTTTCCTCCATTAATAAGTCCTGTGGAATGTAGATGAGATTTTTTTCCTCCTCCTTTTTGCTGATTAAGTTCCCCCAAAACCCCCTTAAGAATTTTAATAAGAAATGCAAAAATCAACAAAAGCCCAGCAAATCCTTTCCTGTTATTAAATAAAGGGAAAGTAAATATTGCAAATTGGACATATTTCATAAGAGGATGTTTTGTTTGGGTGAAAAAAATGAGAAAGAAAAGAAAAAGCTATTTGCTTTCTGGCAGCAAATACAAGTCTTTGCTGAGTTTTGGTTTCAAATGTGATGACTGGGGCATTATTCCTGGTTTGCCTGGAATTCAGGCCTTTTGACATCCGAGGCAGATGTATCCAGGCAAGCAGGAAAGCCAGGTTTTGGCTATGTTGGGCCTCTTCTCTTCTCACTGCTGTGAGGAGACCAGAGAGTTTTTCAGCCACCCAAGAAATTGTGATCCTGAGTTTAGAAGTGGTGACCTGCAGTGGGTCACACACAAGACAAAAGCAACTTGGAACAAAGATGTTTACGTTAAGAGAGGGAGAGAGACAGAACAAAACACAAAAGCTTCTCTATACCACCTTTTTGGATAAGACATGAGATCATAACATAGATTGCATCGATGCAGCATCAACACAGGGAAGGGGCCCTGCAGGTGGAAGACCTGGGTTTAAATCCTGTCTGCCATTTCTTCTGGGTTTCTTTGGGTAAGCTACTTAACTTTTCTGACTCCCACTTTCTTCTTCTTTAAAGTGGGGAGAATAAGAGTATTTACTAATAGAAGTGTGGCAAGGAATCAAAGAGTAGGAAAATGAGCCAAAGAAAGCTAACTGCTAGGCTCAGCATGTCTCCCATGTTATTTTGTGTGATACGACAAATGTAAAGGAAGAGGGAGAAGCGATCGTATTAACACTTTACCTCGTTGTAGGACTAACAGTTTACAAAGAACGTTCCCACTCATGAGTTCACAACAGCCCTGGGGCACGGACAGAGGAGCACTGCCCTCACTCCCCGCTGGAGCACCTGGTGCTCAAAAGTGGGCATGGCCCATCAAGGACACACATTAAGAAATGGTCTGTGTGACCTCAAGTTCAGAGAAAATGAGCAAAAAAAGGCAGGAGAAGAGAAGCCCGAGTGTGTGGCCGCTACCAGGCCCCCGGCTGCCGCGGTGAAGCCACGTTTTCCCCAGGGCCCCGCACCTCCTCCTTGAGGGGTCCCACAGCCTCCCCTGGCGCTTGCCTCTCCCCAGCAACCACAGCAGTGGCAGGGGGTGGCGGCATCCGTGGGCTGCCAGGGCCGCCTCTCACTCCGGAAACGCTTGCGAATGGGATCTCGCCACCCCACGGTGCCGCGACCACAAACCCAGGCCCGTGCCGGGCAAGGCCAGCGGCTGAGGGCTGCGTCCCCCGACTACCTTCTCTAGTCGCTTCGGCCTCCCCAGAGTGCCAGCGACCACCATCTCCAAACAGTTCATCTTATGCAGGAAAACTGCTTTTACTGTTTGCTATTTATTTATTTGCCTGAAGCATCTTTTTGTGCAAATAGTAAAATATACAAATCAATACGACAAATCATTGAACAATCACATATCTTCTCACCACCCATATTTGCTTCAGTTTTGTGGGATTTTTTTTTCTTTTTAGGAAATAAAGCAAAAGTCTCCTCATCTACTACCCACGTCCCACAGATAACCAATGAATTTGGTGCGTGTCCTTCCTGTTATTTTGAAATAATTCAACATACCTGTACAGACATTCAATATTTGATATCATTTTAACTTACATAAATGGTATCATACAATTCATATTGCTCTACATCTTGCCTTTTTCACCTGATGCTATGTTTTGAAATCTATCCATGTTCACATCTACTATGTGTAAAAGAGCCTGGCCTTTCCTTTTGGATGCAGCATAGTATTCCACCGTATGAATGCTTTATGTATCCATTCCTCTAGGGATAGACATTTAGGTTGTCTCTTTTTTAAAAAATTACAAACTGTGATGCTTTGATAAAAATCTTTTTATGTGTCTCTTTGGGTACAGATGCCCAAGTTTCTCTAGGAAATTTGCCCAGAAGTAGAATATGTTTGACTGTTGAAGGCACAGGGCAGGATTAGGCACACCTGGGATCAAATCCCTCTCTGGGCTGGCCACGGTGGCTCACGCCAGTAATCCCAGCACTCTGGGAGGTCAAGGCGGGTGGATCATTTTAGCTTCAGAGTTTGAGACCAGCCTGAGCAAGAATGAGACCCCCATCTCTACTAAGAACAGAAAGAAATTAATTGGCCAATTAAACATATATAGAAAAAAAATTAGCCAGGCATGGTTGCACATACCTGTAGTCCCAGCTACTCGGGAGGCTGAGGCAGGAGGATCACCTGAGCCCAGGAGTTTGAGGTTGCTGTGAGCTAGGCTGATGCCACGGTACTCTAGCCAGGGCAATAGAGTAAGACATTGTCTCAAAAACAAATAAACAAACAATTCCCCTCTGGTGCTTACTCCCTGTGTGACCATGGGCAAGTCCTTTTACCTCTCTGAATCTGTTTTCTTACCTGTAAAATGGGAATGATAATCCCAAATTACCCCAGCTGTTGGAGAGCATTAAGTGAGTCTATCTTTTAAAGGCCCCTGGATTAGTGCAAATGGTAGGAGTCCGGATAGCTCTCGTCATCAATGCTGTCAACCAAGGATCTAAGGTAATGCTCGGCTCTCTGCACAAGGCACCCTCAGCCCTTGGACAGGGCCCGCCGGGCAAAGCAATGCCCTGGGTACTCCTGCCCCCCCACCACGTGATGTCAGCTCCATCCCTCTGCCTACCCAGCTGTCAGCTCAGTAAATAATGGAGCAAATGTACCCTTCAGAATCTCAGTTTCCTCACCTGGAAAATGGGATAACAACAGCTACCTCAAAGAGCTTTGTGAGGCTTCAGTGCTAGATGATACATGCAGGAGACCTGGTACTGTCCCCTGTCTGCCCTCTCCTCCTCCTCCTGCTCACCTGGACAATTTCTCCTCCAAAGCTGTGGAATTATCTGAGGTTTTGTCACCCAGCAGAGTGAGGCTGGACTGTGTCCCTGATTTGATTTTTGTTTCACAGCCCTTGTATTTTCTCTTAAGGATGCTAAGAGTAAAACACATGGAAGCTTAGTGGGGTCCTGGTAAGTGTTCACCCCCAAGAGGTGTCAATGAAACACTGAGTGGTTTAAATTTGCTGAAATGTCTCCATCTGGTGGACTCACTGAAATACTACAGAGTTTGAGCCTGTCTCAGAAAAACAATGGGGCGACAGCTGGGGCTGCCCTGCCCTGCTCAGAAACGCTGGTGGCTCCCCATTGTCTACAGGGTAAAGTCCAAAAGCCAAGCATGGAATTCAAGTGCCTCCACAATCAGTCCCCGCCCTACCTATCGGACCTTATCATAGCTCCGACCTGCCCCAGCCAGGCCCAGCTCCTCCCTAGATCCAGAACCTTAGAGCCCATTCCAGCCTTGCACGTGGGCCTGCCCCGTGCCCAAGACTGCCATCTGCCCCTCTCCTCTGCATGTTCCCATGCTAACCCTCCTTCCACGCTCGGCTCTGAGGCCACCTCTTCCCAGAAGCCTCCTGGGCTCTTCAACCCATGCTAGTCTCTTCAACCCATGCTAGACCTCCCACCAACATTTACTGTTGGTCATTTTTATGTGTCAATATTGAATGTTGTATTTTGTTAATGCACTGTTCTTCCATATCCAGCATGATAGATTTAAGTGAATGTAAACCCCATAGACCCAGATCTTCATCTGCCCTCTACTACTTCCAAGCTATGATACTACGGGCTCAACTGTGAAATGGAGGTAATATTAAATAATACTGATCTCACAGGCTTGTTATGAGAATTCAATAAGATAATAGATGCAAAGTGACTGGCACATAGTAAATGCCCAATAAATTGTCACTAGGGTAGTCAGATAAAAGACAGGAAACCCAGGTAAACTTGAATTTCAAATTGACTGTTGTTTAAGTATATCTGTATATCACAAATATTACATGGGGTTTCTGTGTAACCTCTCACAGATAAATAATGCTAAGGATTATTGTTCATTTTGTTAGATGTGCTAATGAAATTGGAGATATATTTGTGTAGTCAATTCTCTCTATGCTCAGATTCTGTATCTGCAAACTCATCTACTTGCTAGAATTTATTTGTAACACCAAAATCACTACCTTGTTTTCATAGTCATCCACAGCTGTGTGCATACACAGAGCTGCAAAAAACTTAAGTGACCCAATATACAGATTCCCAGCTGAGGATGAACAAGGAGACTCTCTGCCTTCTTGTTTCAGCTCTCACAGCATAAATATTAATAAGTATGTTTTTTGAGCACCAGTGTCATGTTTTTTGCATTTTTGTGCTTTTTCTTGGTGATTTAGCTGTTTAAAATGGCCCCCCAGTGGAGTGCTGAAGTGCCTTCTAGTGTTCCCAAGCCAAGAAATGTGCCTATTGGAGAAAACGTGTGTGTTAGAAAAGCGTTGTTTAGGCACGAGTTAGAGCGCTGCTAGCTCTGAGTTCAGTGCTGATGAATCAACAAGTGATATTATATAAGGTGTCTTCAAACAGAAACACATAAAATGAGGTTATGTACTGCGGAGTTGATGAAAATGTTGTAACCAGAGGCTCACAGGAACTGAACCCTGCATTTTCCTGGAAACAATGGTTCAGCATTCACTAAGTCAGTGTTTGCAGTAACTTTATAGAACAGACCTATCTCAAATAATGACAATCAACTACACAGTTGATACATGTATTAATATATGTATAAAAAGGGAGATTAAAGTGTGTATATGGAGAGTGTACAGGAAACAAGGTACCAAAGGTTGAAGGTTGTGACTTATTAAACTATACTCTCTACTTTTACGTATGTTTGTAAATTATCTTAACAAAATGTTTAAATGCACATTGAGGAGAAGATCTTGAGGAAGAACCTCTTATTCAGTAGCTTTTACTTCAGACCCACCGTGAGGGCTCCAGATAATGTCACCTAAGATCCCATTATCAGCAAATCCTAAATCCTTCAATGTCTGGGCTGGGATTTAGAAGACCTGGGCTCCAGTTTCGGCCTCACCTCGGACTTGCTTACCTTTAGCAACTCCCAGCACCTCTGGACCTATTTTCTTTCTTTCTTTTTTTTTTTTTCTGTAGAGACAAGAGTCTCCCATTGTTACCCAGGCTGGAGTATAGTGGCACAATCAAAGCTTATTGTAGCCTCCAACTCCTGGGCTCAAGCAATCCTCCTGCCTTGGCCTCCCAAAGTGCTGAGATTACAGCCATGAACCACTGCACCCATTCCTGGACCTATTTTCTTATCAGTGAATAAAGTTGAACTGGACAACCTCTGAATTCCCTTTCATTGTTAAAAACCTCTAATTCTGGGTCAGTCGAGGTGGCTCACTCTTGTAATCCTAGCACTCTGGGAGGCCGAGGCAGGAGGACTGCTTGAGCTCAGGAGTTCAGGCTGGTCTCAGAGTGAGATCCCCGTCTCTACTAAAAATAGAAAAAATTAGCTGGGCATGGTGGTGTGCACCTATGAGTGCACAGCTACTTGGGAGGCTGAGGCAGGAGGATCGCTTGAGCCCAGGAGTTTGAGGTTGTGAGCTAGGCTGATGCCACGGCACTCTAGCCTGGGCAACAGACCAAGACTCTGTCTCAAAAAAAAAAAAGAAAACCAAAAAGAAAACCTCTAATTTGGCCGGGCGTGGTGGCTCACGCCTGTAATCCTAGCACTCTGGGAGGCTGAGGCGGGCGGATTGCTCGAGGTCAGGAGTTCGAAACCAGCCTGAGCAAGAGCGAGACCCTGTCTCTACTAAAAATAGAAAGAAATTAATTGACCAACTACAAATATACATACAAAAAAAATTAGCCGGGCATGGTGGCACATGCCTGTAGTCCCAGCTACTCGGGAGGCTGAGGCAGTAGGATCGCTTGAGCCCAGGAGATTGAGGTTGCTGTGAGCTAGGCTGATACCACGGCACTCACTCTAGCCTGGGCAACAAAGTGAGACTCTATCTCTAAAAAAAATTAAAAAAAAAAAAAAAAGAAAACCTCTAATTCTATTAATGAAACAAGTATTTCCTAAATTGGCATGTTCTAATACAATATCACAACCTCTCTCCAGCTCTCTTCCCTGCCCAATTGATACCACTATCCTGTAACTCTTGCCGATGTTCTCCCCTCTTTTGTGCCATTCTAACCACGAAGTTTTTTGTTTGTTTGTTTGTTTTGAGTTTTTTTTTTTTGGTTTTTTTGGAGAGTCTTACTCTGTCGCCTGGCTAAAGTACAGTGGTGCCATCATAGCTCACTGAAACCTCTAATTTCTGTGCTCAAGGGATCCTCCTGCCTTAGCCTCCTGAGTAGCTGTGACTACAGGCACCCACCACTGCACCCAGATAGTTTTTCCTGTTTTTAGTAAAGGTGGGGCTTCGCTCTTGCTCAGGCTGGGCTAGAGTGCAGTGATACCATCATAGCTCACTGCAGCCTCCAACTCCTGAACTTAAGCAATCCTTTTGTCTCAGCCTCCCAGAGTGCTAGGATTACAGGCATGGACCACCATGCCCAGCCTCATGAAGCTCTTCTGATTTTGATTTATTTAAAGCCTGAACTCCCTAGCCTAGACACGTGATCTCATTCAACCAAGAGCTCACAGTCCAGTTTAAAAGAACCAGGAAACTGGCTGGGCCAGACTACCACAGAACACAAAGGCAAGTCTTCCAAGCAGATATTCCATAGAAGAGGTGATATCCAAGCTGAGACCTAAAGGATGACCAGAAATTACTGCAGCTAATTGAGGCGAGAATTATGTTCCAGGCAGAGGCAACAGCATTCTCAAAAGCCTTCGAACAACAGAAAGTTGAACAGGTCCCCAATTCAAAGTCTGTCATCATACCTAGCGCCATGAATCTTTCCAGCAGTATTTGCCACCCTTCCTTATCACCCATCTTTCCCTTCTGCCCAGTCTGTGCGCTGGAATGCCTGTGATTAATACTTGGTAAGGTATATATTAGACTGCCCACCAAGCCTCTAAAATAACAAGGTCAGGAGAAACTTTTACAATCCCATCGCACTTTTGTTTTGCTCATTTCTCATAATGCTGACGATCCATTTTTCAGTAGAGGAAACTCAGGCTCAGAAAAGTTAAGTCATTCACTGAAGATCACACAGCCAGTGAGGGGTGTAAAGGCCTGCTGTCCTCCACACTGCACAGGGCAGCCAGAGACAGTGGCTCTCGGCCGTGTCTGCGAGAAGAGCATCCTTACAAGTTCTCTGCCTGCTGCAGCCTGTACAAATACTCTGCAGCGACCCCCATTTTACACTGAGAAAGCTGAGGGCAGTCTCCCCGGACAGGGCCATTTAATAAAGTTCGGTCGCCTCAAGCACCCCGTCGCTCCAAAGGCTAAAGATCCTTTAGGTCTCGGGTCCACTACCCACGCGACTATCACACCTGGCAGTTTACTGCATCTCATCTGTAAAACGGGTCTTGCGGGACTGCTGTGAAGATTAAACGAGAACGGCATTTGCACTGAGGCACAGACCAGATAATACCGGCGAAGGCAAAAAGGACGACCGGCCGCCTCCGCCTGAGCCCGCGGCCGACGAGCCTGCGCCGAGAACACGCGCCGCGAGGCCTTGCGCAGGCGCCTGCGCCGAAAACACGCTCCGTCAGGCCTTGCGCAGGCGCACTGCGCCAACACCCGGCGGTCTCCTTCGTGAGCTCTGCGGCTGCGTCCTCGGCTGGCTTTGCGGCCGCACTGCTTGACGGCAGCGATGTCTGCCCCCTGGCCGGCGTTGCTGGGGTAACGGCGAGCGCTTGGGGCCGAGGAAGGTGAGAGACCTGGGCGTGGAGCAGGAGGCGTCCTGCGGCTCGGAGGGCTGCGCCGTATATCCTGGTGGGGGGATTCCGCCGCCAGAGGAGGCCGCGCTCCTCCGAAAGCCTTCCAGGGCGAGGGCGGAAGGGCCAGGGACTTCCCTGCGGTCGCACAGCCGGGCCAGACTGCCGGGTGTCCTGCGCTCGGCCGGGCGTACACTCCTCTGCCCCTTCTCCGCACACCTGTAGCCCTTTGTTCGTTCTGGAGGCACTGAGGCCCTGTCCAGAGCTGGGGCTGGGGAATTCTAGGTACATCCAGCACTCTGCCCGTACGGAGCCTCTGCCTCGAGAGCGGTTGGGCAAGAGGACACCGAGGTACGAAGCAGAGGGCCAAGACAGGGAGTTACGAGTTCGTCTGGCCTGCGACGCTGTGGCTTGGGGGCAGTGGTTTGTGGCAGTTGCAGCTACCTGGCTGAGCACTTTCCACGTGGTAGGCCCTCTGCGAGGGGAGGCGAGGCGCCTGGCACTCAATTACTCCTCTAATCCTCACACCAACCTTCAAAGGCTTGTCGTCTCTTTAAGTCTTATTCTCGGGTTCTAACATGAAAGCTCCCCAGAGGCAGGATTGTTTACCTTATCCCTTTCATCCTTGCCTCCCTGAGCCCAGGAGGTACGCAGGTGGAGCTTCAAACGTGTTTTTTAATTGGGAGGTGAGCTTTGCTGGCTGGGAGGTTTTCAACCAGGCTAGTTTGGCACCTGGGTCAAGAGAGTTGGAAAATTTATGGAGCCAACTGCCCCCTTTTGTTTGCTCTTCAGATAGACGTTGACTGAATACCTAAAAGGTACTAGATTGTCTGCTCAAGGGAGGAATAAGGATCACGACTTGCTTTTGATAGAAAGTAAGTCTAGGTACATAAGCTCTGGAGTCAGGCATGCCCAGGTTTGGGGAAGAAGTTAACAATCCCTTACTGGTGCGCTTAGCCGGTTGGGTTCACTTTCCTCATCTGTGCTACGGAAATAAAAATAGTACTTACCTCAGAGGATTGTTGGGATTGAGTTTCAATAGACCACGCTGTTACCCCTGATGGGCCGCGTGTTGAAATCAGCTGGGTCCACCCCAGAAATTTGAAGCAGTTAATTGCAGGTAAGGTCCGGGCATTAGGATTTAAGGGCGGCTGAGCTTGAGGGTTCCCATTATGTACCACTCCCAGATTAATTTACACATTTCGTACCGCATAGAAATCTCTAAGACATATGCCAGGGACCACATGTTTTGGGGCAAACTGCATGTTATTTAAATCATCATAACTACAGATCATAATGCATGTTAGGTGTTGTTTTTCAATAATTGTAAGATTTTTATTTACAAAAACAAACAACTAATTAAACAATTTAAGTTCTTAGTACTTTTTAAACATATGGTACCGCGTAAAACATTTTCCTCTATGAAGAGGGACCAGACAAAATTTACATAAGGATCTAGATTTGCTCCTTTTTCCATGGGCAACACAAACTCTGCAGGCTCTCGTAGGAAATTTTTTCTTTCCACTCTCTGGAATACACATAGGTTCATGCTGCTTCATATAACCAGGGGAGGGCTGGATGGCTTTGTCTCTGGTTCTGGAAAGCCTTCATTATTGTCCTCCGTTATCTAGTCTCTCGCCACTGATAGCAGAAACTATTTATACTTCATTTTGCTTGTGGATTGAGGATGTTGTACACTCTAAATGAATTGAAAAGTCCACAGTTTATAAGATACAGCACTACTTTTTTTGTCCATTTCTTCGTTTTCCTTAGAATGAAACAACACGAAAGGAATTGATCCGCACGGTCAACGCCTTTCATGTGGGCATTGTATCCCTTGATGCAGGTAGGTTTTACAATATTCTCTCCTGTTTTCTATTTTTATTTTTCCCTGTTGTCGAGACAGAAGTGTCATGGATCGTTGATATCATTCGGACAACCCGCTTGTCTTTTCATGCTACGAGAAGAATATCACCTTTTCTGGAAAATAATTATGTCACCTTTCTTCATTCTTGATGTTTTCATTTGCACATTTGGCAGTAAACCTCTACTCTCCCTAATGGACAAGACAGTGTGTTGATGTCTAAGGTCCATAACAGATGGCGCGCGAAACACGAGAAAACTCGTGAGTGGTACAAAAGGTATTAATCTGCTCTTTTCAGTCATCATTCTCTGCTTAAGAACCTGTATTGACACCAGGTCTAAACCAGCCTTTGCATCCCAAATCTCACTACTGACCCAGTCTTCCCCATGCTTTTTTGTGGGCTTCAGGCACAGCTTCTCTTTTTTGTCTGTGAAATGAAGATTATACAGTCAGCCTTTCTACCCACAGGTTCCAAATCCACAAATTTGAAAGTATTTGGGGGGAAAAATACAGTATAACACCTGTTCATATAGCATTTACAGTGTATTGAGTATTATAAGTAATCTAGAGGTGATGTAAAATATACAGGAGGATGTGGGTAGGTCATTTGCAAATACTATACCTTTTTATATAAGGGACTTAAGCTTTTGCATATTTTGGTATGGGGAGGGAACCAGTCCCCCTGCTCCCCTATAGGTACAAAGGGATGACTGTAGTACCCACGTGTGTAGCAAATGACACAGGCAGTACCTGGCATTTTGTACATACCTATGACGGTTACCTCTTCTGATTAGACTCATATCCCACCTCTTGGGTCATGCCGTTCTGTCATGACAGTGAAGAAACATTTCTTGAATGCCTATTGCAGATACGGAGAAAGGCAAATGCAGTCCTTTCTCCTCTGCTTTGCTTTCCAACTTCAGCACAAGAGAACTCTTCTGTGAACCTAGAGATCATCTGGTTTGTCCTGTTGAATTTGTTTTTTCTTACTTAGAAAGTGAACTCTGCCTTCTGAGAGAGTGCCTTTCAGTCTTTTCCAGAAGCCTCACGCTGATATCTGTGAAACCATTCCTGCAGTAATAGCCTGGGGGATGCCTTTCTTCCTGCTGAATTTTTTAAAATAATAGCTTTATTGAGATGCCATATAATACCATAAAAGCCACCCTTTTAAAATGTACAGTTTAGTGACCACAGTTTAGTGGTCTTAGTATATATTCACAGAATTGTGCAACCATCACCATCTCTGCAGTCTAACATTAAAACATTTTTGAACCCTTCCTTCACCCTTATCTATGAGCGGTCACTCCCTATTTCCCCTTTTCCCCAGGCCCTGGTAACCCCTAATTTATCTGTTTTGCCTATTCTGGCCATTTCATATTGGTGGTCTCATATGTGGTCTTTTGTGTCTGGCTTCTTTTCCTTAGCATAATGCTTTCAAGGTTCATTCATGCTGTAGAATATATCAGAACTTCATTCCTTTTATGGCCACATAGTATTCCATTGTATGATTAGACCACATTTTGTTGATCCAGTTATCTATTGATGGACATTTGCATGGTTTCCACCTTTTTGTTATGAATAATACTGCTGTGAACATTCATGCACAAATTTTTCCATGAATGTATGTTTTCTCTTGGATCTATACTTAAGAGTAGAATTGCTGAATCATATTTTAACTTGTATTTGACATTGTGAGTAACGGTTAGACTGTTTTCCAGTCCTATTATTCAATTTGAAGATGAAGAAACGGCTTAGAGAGCTTAAGTGGGTTTTGCAAAGTCCCACAATAATAATGGCAGCTTTGGATGTACGGAAGGTCTACTGTGAGCCAAATTCTTGTGTGTGCAGTCTCGTGAGCAGGGGTGATGCCAGAACCTGGGGCATGAGGTTTTTAACGGGTATTTTGTGGCTGGGACCCTTCCGCCCCTCCCACTTGGGTCAGAGTACACTAGTTGCTGCCATTAAGTGTCACCGCTCAGTTTTACCTTTTTTAGAATGTGACAGCAGCCTAAAAGGGAAAATCGTGAACAAACCAGGCAAATTAAAATACAACTTTTTATTTGTCGAGAGAATTTAATTTGAACTTCTTGAAGTTAACCATTAAATCTTTTTTTAAAATTCCAAATGTAATATATACAAGTCAAATGCTGGACAGAGGTTAAGTTATAAAAGTGAAAAATTTCAGAAAAGTCCAAATTATTCCTAGAAATCTCTAAAAAGGTGCCTCACTGGAGACCAACATCCTACTCCAAAAAAGCTAATCTGGCATTGTTTATTTTCAGTTTTGGAATAAATTGTTATATTTTCAGTTGAGTACCAGATATAATCATTGGCTTGGGTTGAGATGTAAGTCAGCAAGTATGCTGAAAGTCTAGTCAAAATGCCCTTGGAAGAGAATCTCTTAGGTTTCCCATGAACATGCAGTAGAGATGGTTTTGTTATAGAACCTATACAGCAATACGTATGCATAAATATATAATATATACAGTAATGCTCACTATGTTGAGGGACCTTATTTAGAAATTAAATTATTCTAGTGTGTTGCTGCTTGGAACACTTTGTCAATTCTAGGAGGGTTCCAACTTGGTGATTCATCTTGTTTTTCATAGTTATCTTTGTAATTGATTTATCAGTTTCTCTAACTCTTCCTTAGTCTATGTTTTTCAATGTCCTCATTTAATTCTTCAACTTCTTCCTTGAGAATTTGGAAAAAGATATCATAACACATTGGCCAAGGCTTTTAATTTCTTTTTAATGGTCATAAAACCCTTAACACCACTCAACTTCCCTTCTCTCAGCATTGGCCACCTTCTTGTTTCAGGCCCGATGCATCCATTCCTTGATCCTTGATGTGATGCTGGCACTGAGCACAGGTGACACTTAGATGATCTTTTTTTTTGGTCTCTCGTGAAGGCTTGGAGCCACAAAGGCTAAATGTGCGTATGATGTGGCTCCACTCTATCTTCAAGCACCAGATAAATGGTCATTTGAAATGAAGTCCAGACCTAATACTGAGAGAGTAGTGGATTCAGATCTCCCATCTCATTCCAGGGTATCTGCTGATAGAGTGAGAAGTTCTTGCACCCTTTACATGTTATTCCCTCAGGTATGAGTAAGTTTTTCTAAGTTAAAGGTATCTGCTGTGACTGTCTGCATCGCACAAAGTGCTCAACTTTACCTTGTTCAGCCGTTATTGCATTGCAGCTGGTTTTGTTCCCTCCGACCTGCTTTCAGGTGTGCTATATGCTTGTTTTATCGCCTCAGGTTCACTGTAAAGCCCGGAAGGTGGGGGTAATGGCTTCAGCTTCCTTTTCTCCGTCGCAGTGCTGGGTGCCCCGTTGGTAATTCCATAATCACTCAGTAACCTTTCAGCTTCTGTCTTTGAGAAATAGCTGTCACAGGAGTGGACAGATGCTGCCTGTAATTAAAGCAGAACCCAGAGAGAAGGACATGGGCTTTGGAGTTCAACAGACACTGGGTCATCCAGTGTTACCTCTCTTGGGGCCCTTTACAAATCTCTGTAACGTGGATCTAGTTCCTCATTGGTAAGATGGCACTGCGAGTCTCATGGTAATAATGTAGCTGAGACCTGCGTGGTGCTGTGTGCCAGGGATTATTCTAAGCACTTAACTGTAAGTCTGTTTATACCCTTATTTTGGAGGTAAGGAAACTAAAGCACAAACAGATTCAGTAACTTTTGCCCAAAATCACACAGCTAGGAAGGGTGAAGTCAATTCCAGCCCTTGCAGTCTAGCTTTAGAGTCCCTGCTTGAAGCCTCTAGCATTTTGTGGTATGTAGTAGACCTTAACTAACTGCTGCCATCATTATTACTTACTAGTTTACTGTAAAAATTACAAGATGATTGACCCACTATTTAGAATGTTTTTTTGATCCTTTTTTGGAAAATGAAGTACTCTACTCATTAGATTTAATTTGTTGAAGACAGAGTCTTTCTTTGTTTTATTTATATAACCCTAGAACCTAACATTATTAGGATTTCCTGGTAGGTACTCAGTGAATGTCTGTTGGCTGATTGAAACATTAGACATAATCCTGATACACAGAAATCCTATCGTGCTTGCTCCTGGAGACCTAGCATTGTGATTTTGGACATGTCACTAGGCTTCCGTGTTGTTAGCTATAGTAGAAATAATACCACTTCCTGGGGACTACTGTGAGTAGAAATAATACCACTTCCTGGGGACTACTGTGAGGATTAATTGTAGTAAAAGGTGAATGTGATTTGCACCACTCATACAAAATGTTCCTTCTACACTTGTGTCTTTTGGTTTATTGCTTTATAAATATTGTTTTTTCTCCACAGACCACGAAGTTTTCTGAGCCTAGGTATAAACATACTTTTTTGATCAATGTGGTTATTGACTGATTGTTTCTTTCTGTTGTCTACTGTTTAAAGAAAAGTTCCCCCTGAAAAATGGCAGAAGCCGTTTTCCACGCCCCAAAAAGGAAAAGAAGAGTGTATGAGAATTATGAGTCTCCATGGCCGATCCCTTTTGATCAGGACCAAAGTCCTAGGAAAGAATTCAGAATATTCCATGCCGAAATGATTAACAACAATGTGATTGTGAAGAATGCAGAGGACATCGAACAGCTCTATGGGAAAGTAAGTGCAGGCAGCCGTGGTGTGGTTACTTTCTAACAACCCTGAGCAAGCAGTCCTCCTCCCTTCTTCCCATGCCATCCATCCACTCCAAAGGGTCTTTCCTTGTAGTTTGGTCCAGTGTAAGGACAGTACGATTTAAGTCAAGTGACCCAGAGCCATACATTGTGAGGGTAATGAAATGACACATGGAGCGAGCACCCCCAGCTACAAACCTATGTTTCAGACATGAAGTAGGGGCAATGGGTTGACCTTTTTTGTCTTTGAGTTATCAAAGCAATGCATGTTCATTGTAAAAATGATAGTATTTATGGAAATGTAATAAGTAAAAAGTGAAAATTCCCACCCACTCCCTTTCCACTCCCAGAGGTAACCTCAGAGTGGCATATTGTTCTAGCTCATGAACCAGTCAGATGAGACTTTGGAATGTAGCTCCTTATCTGTTCTCTCTCCTGGTTGGGGACCTCTTCTTAAATGAGGAAAAGTTCTAGTCTTTACTGGTTTTCAGCAATGATAGCTTTGGTTAAGACTGGGAGCTTTTTATTTTTTTGTGATTTTTCCATAGTCTGTTCATTGCTGGGGGCATTTTTTAAAACAGCTTTATTGAGGTATAATTTACAAGCATAAAATTTACCCATTGTAAGTGTACAATTCAGTGATTGTCATAAATTTATAGAGTTGTGCAACCCTCACCACAATCCAGTTTTAGAACATTCCCTTTACCACAGAAAGTCCCCTTGTGTTTATTGCACTTAATCCCCACTCCCAGCCCAAGGCAGCTGCTCATCGGTTTCATGTCTCTACAAATGTGCCTTCTCTAGACATTTTATAGAAAAGTAGGAGGCACTGACCCTAGCGGGGTGGGAGTCTGAGTAGGCCAACGGCACGTCTCCCCACGGCTTAGCAGCGAGGCTTTCATTCACAGTATGAAACGTTAAGCAGGAGGCTTAATAAAATGCTGTACACATTATTTACTCTAATTGTTAAATCTGAGTGGGGGTAAAGGGTGTTTGATTTCAGTTTTCTGTGTGTTTAAATATTTTATAATTAAAGGGAGAGACATATATGTTGTCTTTGGCATCAGCAGGAATAAGAGGAATACTTCAATTCTGGAGTACCGAGGAATCCAAGAAGCGCTTTGTGCCTGGTGGGCATAGCTCCAGCTTGCAGGCAGCCGCTCCTGAACCCCCCGCGATGAGGCAGCTCGGCCCCTGCATGCCCTCTGTCTGTGAGGCCTAGACTGAAATCATTAGTTAGGGGATAAATGAGGTGTGCTAAAAACTTAGTAGTGCTCTAAAAACAATCAAAGAAATGATATGCTTAGAATGTCATTAGTAATTGTTATATAAAAACAGAAAATGAAAAGTGGGGTGAACCTTTTGTGAACCTAAATAGTTATAGTCAGCCCTCTGTGTCTGTGGGTTCCACATCCATAGATTCAACCAACCATAGGACAGAAATATTCAGGGGAAAATAATTGTGTCTGTACCAAACACCTACAGGCTTTTTTTTTCTTGTCCCTATTCTTTAAACAATACAGTATAAGAACTATTTCTATAACATTTACATTGGATTAGGCATTAAAAGTAATCTAGAGATGATTTAAAGTATATGAGAGGATATGCAAAAACTATCCTATTTTATATCAAGAACTTGAATATCCATGGATTTGGGCATCTATGGGAGGTTCTAGAACCAATCCTCTTTGGAAACCGCTAAACAACTATAGATTTTACCTTAGCTAAAAAATTGGTAACTAAATGTGAACTTTCTTTTCTCTCTTCCTGGAAGGGTTATTTTGGAAAAGGTATTCTTTCAAGAAGCCGTCCAAACTTCACAATTTCAGATCCTAAACTGGTTGCTAAATGGAAAGGTAAACTTGTACATCATTTGGTTCATATTCTTTCATTTTTAATCTTATACCTCAGTAAGATTCTAGAGAACTAATGTATATGCCGGCAATTCTGCCCAAAATAGCAGCAAGGGTAATTCGAGTCAAAAGCAGAAGGGTTCTTACGATTGGTGAAAATGTGTTTTATTTCTAGAATTATCAAAAGTGTTTTTCATTGCAATGTGGTAGATATTGGTAACTGAGTACTTGTTTGCCTGTGGTACCATGCAAAATGAGTTTCGTATTTTATTTCCAGAATTAGAATTTACAATAACCATGACATTGACAGATTTGTTAAAGCAAACTAATGTGTTAGTCCTCACTTGCTGGTTCTCTTTCCTTTAATTTACAAATCTTTTAGTGTATTTCTCTAAGGAACTCTCAGACACTCATGGTAGTTACTTAAGAAACAATACAAGTAGGTTAAAACATAATTGGGATTTTTTAAATGTTCTATTTTAAGAAAATATACAGATTAAAACTGCTCTATTATACCATATAAACAATTATGCAGAAATCCTAAAGTTTGACAACATGCCCCATTTGTGAGGCCCCGAGAAAGAGACATTCTTAGTCATTGCTGGTGGGAGTGCAAATAGTGCCAACCTTACAGAGGGGAATTTAGCAATGTCTATCAAAATGTAATCCCCTAAATGTTCTCTATGATAAATTATATATATATTTACTTTTTTTTTTTTTTCCTTTCATGCCCCTCTCCCCTCAGTCCCTGGTAACCTTTATGTTTTCTGTCTATGAATTTACCTCTATTCTGGATATTTCATTGATAAGTAGAATGATAACGATATTTGTCCTTTTGTATCTGGCTTCTTTAACTTAGCATAATGTTTTCAGGATTCATCCCTGCCATGGCATGTATCAGAACTTCATTGCTTTTTATGGCTGAATAGTATTTCTCTGTATGGATTTAGCACATTTTGTTTATCCGTTCACCTGTTGATGGACACTTAGGTTATTTCTTGGCTATTGTGAATAATACTGTTGTGAACATTGGCATAAAAGTATCTATTTGCATGTCTACTTTCAATTTTTTTGGTTATATACCCAAGAGTGGAATTACTGGATCGTATGGTAATTCTGTGTTTGACTTTTTGAGAAACCACCAAACTTTTTCCACATTGGCTGCACCATTTTACGTTCCCACCATCATTGCCCCAAGGATTCCAATTTCACCACATCCTTGTCTATGCTAAGAGTTGTATAGTTTTCACTTTTAAGTTTAGGTCTTTGGTCCATTTTGAGTTCATTTTCGTATAAGATACTGTTTTACCTGTGGATATCGAGTTGTCCCAGTATATACATTTACTTTTAACCCAGCAATCCCACTTCTAGGAATTTATCTTAACGATACATTTGATCCAAAAATATAAAAAGAAATAGCACAAGGCTATTCATTTCAACTGTTTATAATACGCAAAGACTGGGAACAACCCAAATGTCCATCGGGAGGACCATTTGCGTAAACTATAGCACATTTATATAATGAAGTACTGTGGAGCTGACGTAGGAACAAGGGATCACTAGGATATATTGTTAAGTGAAGAGAGCTAGGTAAAGGAAAGTGCACGGTGTGCTGTGGTTTATCTAAAAAGGAGGAAATATAAATATATATTTAATTTTTTTAATGGAAGGATAAACCATAATTTTTTTTAAATGGGATAAAACAGGATGAAGAAAAATGTGAGATTTTGTAGATTTGACTTTGAAACCTTGTCAGAGTATTGCATATTTATAAAGCAAGTTAAATTTTAAAATGTAATTTTTTAAATAGAAATGAAACAACTGAATGCTTATATCAAGTTGGTTATAATCATACAGGGAGAAACTATTTTGAGTAACTTTAAAACAGAGATTTGACTGTTCAGTCCTAATGGGATAGACTTTATGTCATTTGTCTTTTATCACAATAATGCTGCTTAGTGAACTACCCCAAAATTCATGGGTTTTAAACAGCAGCCATAGTGCCTACTAGTCTACAGGTTTTCTTGATGGATGTGCTCACTTTCCTAAGGTGTTCAAGCTGAACATCTATTCTAAGCCTTTAATGCACGCAGAGGAGGCTGAGTTTGGGAAAGGAGAAACCACTTGCCTCTCTGATTAGAATCAGAGAGGACCAGGATGAAAACCCAGACCATTAGGTAACGTGATTCTTCCCAGTTGATGCCCAGAACTCCTTCCTGGTGCTGTGCTGTGGAGTCAGAGAAAAGTTTTCACAAAGGCCTTTCCTTGTTCACTTCTTGACAAATCCACACCCAAAACTAGCACTGCCATCAGGTGTACTTCTCCAGTCATTTATTTATGCACACATGAGGAGCTTTCAGTGAAGACAAGAGAATGGAGGTAGAACGCCTGCCTCTAGAACCTCAACATTCTAATCCGAGATTTGGAATGAGAGTTCAGAGAGGTTTCCTGTCACATGCCATCACTGCTAGCTGAGCGCAGAGTTGGATTCTAAGGTCACATATAAGCCCAGCAAGAGTGATGATATCCACAGCAGCACCTGTGGGGGGGGGGGTGCCGGAAGGGTGGCATGCAAAGCGAGTGTTTGCCGTCACTGACTGGGCAATGTTAACCCTTGGGGTGTGTGATTTTGTGACTCTTGGTTCTCTTTGTTATTCATAGGTTTTTAGTGTTTTTTTTCCCACTTAAAGGAAATTGTCTGAAACTAATAGAACTTCCTTGTTGTTACAGATACGAAGACAAACATGCCTATCATCACATCAGAGAAGTAAGTCATCAACTTTGGCTTTGGTCAAAATAATGGTTTAAATTAGACCTGTTTTTAGGTGGTCTTGTCCACTGTGCCAGTCCAGTCCATACTTTCTCTTCTTTTCTTTTTTTGGTAGTATCCTTGAAAATTATGTCTGAATTTAATGTGGATCAAATCATTTTTGAAATGAATTAAGTTTAGTGTTTGTGTAAATAATACTTTGCTAGTTGAATTCCTTCCAATATATGAATAACTACCCCGTAAAGGTCCTGTTATTAAGTCCTCAGATGCTTAGATTTAGGTTCCAAGCTGGCATCCTGCCCTGTGTGGGCACAGATGGTCCTGTCTCCTTCCTTGCCAGAGACCTTTCCTCATTCATGCCTAAATGTTCCCAGAACATTCTCCCTGACCCCGAAAGCACACACATACTGCCTGGCTGACTGCTGCACCTCCTCAGTCCGTATCACCTCCTGGGTTTCGCTCCTCACCACCATCCCTCTGCTGACCTAAGTGCTCCTTCTCTGGCTCCTGCAGAGGCTGCTTTGGCACACGGCTCTCAAGTCGTCCCTCACCCAGGGGTTTGGACTGTCAGTCCTTGGAGAGCAGGGACCAGGCCATACTCCTCTCTATGGCTGCACACTTTGCAGTCCTTTGGTGAGAGTTTATTAACTACATCTCTATCCATCCCAGACGTTATTGTCCCTATGGTGCAGTTCAGATCACAACTCTTCCATGAAACCTTGTAAAACTAAAATCCACCGTGATTTTTTCCTCTTGCTTCTAGCACGTACCGGCAGCATCCAACAGCTCCTTTTTGGTGACGTGCCCAGTAACCCCATGGCTAGCAGAGTGGCAAGCAGACAGCAGCACCAGGGAGGTCTCAGTGGCCGTAACCCCAGGCTGGGGTCAGGTGGGGTTCTGGCCTGTGGGAGAGGCCTGCTCAGAAGCTGGCAGAGCCCCTGTCCCATGTGGGCTACAGCACAGGTGTATTGCTGCAGCTGAGACCTAGGATTCAGAAACAGCGCAAGCCTGCCCATCCTCATTGGGCTGGCCATAAAGACAGCATGGGGTCAAGCCCGTTTGAGTATGTGGGAGATTCTGGATGGGGAGGTGGCCACCTCCCTGAAGAGTAGCCCTTTGTAAGCACTACAGTGTAGCATTCCAAGAAATTTTATTGATCCTTGTATTAATTTCCTAGGGCTGCCCTAACAAAGTACCACACACTAAATGCCTTAAATAACAGGAATTTATTCTTTCATAGTTCGGGAGGCCAGTCCAAACTCATGTCAGCAGGGCCACACTCCCTCAGAAGGCTCTACAAGAGGATCCTTCCTTGCCTGCCTTCACTTCTGGTGTCTCAGCAATCCTTGGTGTCCCTTGGCTTGTAGATACATCGCTCTAATCTCTGCCTCCATCAGCACGTGGTGTTCTCCCTTGTGTGTCTCTGTCAAAATTTACTCTTTTAAGGACATTAGTCACTACATTGTCATCTTAAGTTGATTGATTCCATTTGCACAGACCCTATTTCCAAATAAGGTCATATTCTTAGGTATTAGGACTTAGGACTTAAACATATTTTTTGGGAGAGGCCACAATTGTCATACGTGTTTTTATTAAATGCAGTCCCGGAGGTTATCCAGCTATTCATTATCCAAGGCCCTGCAGTCACACAGTTGCTCTGGGAAACAAAATGACAATATGAAATACTAACAATAAGCAGGCCTCATATAAACTCAATCTATACTCCCCTCCTTAACGCTTCTGATATGCCTTGTGTTACCCTAGTTGACATTTTTCTTCAAGACTAATCTAACTGCGAGATTCTCATTTTTTAATCGCCTTGCCTGTACTTAGATCACTTTCACTGACTTCATGAATCCTGCATCTTTTTTGCAAGATCCAGATGTTCCATTTGCCATCGATCTGCAGTGAATTTACATTACCATAACAGAGGAAAAAGTGACATAGACTTGACACATAGCGACAGGATAGGAATGCTGCTTAAAGGGGGAGGTGCTTATGTGGGGATTAATTTTTAAAAAGAAATTTTCAGGTTACAGGTCATTTCCCTGTATGAATTTAAGCATGTCTAAAGATGTCATCAGTAAATTCTATCAGCAAATAATATCCACCCCCCCAAAAAATCAATACTTGATTCATTATTTGTTTATATAATCTAAATTCTTTTAAATACAAGAAAAGTATTTAGTTTTGTATTTTAGGCTAATTTTCCAACTGAAATGTTTGTCATAATTGTTTCTTTACTAGTCACTCTAAACTTCTGATTCCTAATTGGCCTTTTTCCAACAATAGCTGTCCTTTGGTGATGAGAACCTTCTGTGTAACCCTTTCTGGACGTGAGCGTCAGGACTCTCTGGTGATGCCTTTTAGGGGGCTGACGCATGTGGGGGTGTGTCCCTGAAGGAGGGGTGCTCGCCACTCTCTTTGTCGTCTTTATTCAGCCAGCATTTACTGGGGGCTGCCTGTGTGTCCAGCATTGAGTTGGTGCTTGGAGATTCGAGAGCGAGAAAAAGATCTAGTTCCTATTCTTGAGGGCTTTACGGCCTAGTGGGAGAGGAGAAGTAAACAGTCGTGCCATGTGTGCAGGTGTCGTGACAGAGGTATCCTCCTCCTCATAGCCAGCAGGCACCAGCTGCTGCAGCGGTGCCAGTTCCCTGTCTGTGTGCTTTACTTGCATTATCCCATTTCATCTTCTCAAGAAACCTTTGAGGATAGGTGCTGTAGTCTTTTCCATCTCATAGATAAGGGGACTCAGTGGTTAACCAGCTTGCCCAAGATTATGTGGGCTCAGCTCCAGAGCCTGAGAGTAGGTAGCACATAGTGAGAACAATAAAATAGCTGTCAGTGCCGGCATCTCCTGAGTATATTCCTGTGCTAGGTGCTGTGTTAATGACGGGTCTGTGTATTCTGTCCGTGAGTCCTCACATCACTCCTGTGAGGTCTGTCTTTAACAGCAAAGAAATGAACCATGAGGGGGTTGTTATGCTCAGGGTCAGGACGTGGACTGAGCAGCCTGGTTCCAGGGCTAAGTGGGCATTAATAAGATGAAGGGCAAGGGTGCTCTGTGCAAATGGGAGCGGTGTGTGCAAGGGCGTAGAAACAGGAGAAGTGCGTATGTTTGCGGGAGGCCGTCCTGTGTCCTCGCTGCCCTGCAGGGCTGTGCTTTTCGCCAGTCATGCTGGTCACGGCTGCCCCTCTTCTGCACGCTCCTCCTCATGCTTTCTGCCTTTTACTTCTCACATTTTTCTCCCTGTGGCTTCTCCAGCGTGTTTGAGGGCGATTTCAGCAGGACTTGGCTGTTTAAGGTGTCGCCAGCCCATGAGAGGATGCCTTCAGTCTCACTCAGAGGCTTGCTTCTCCACGCTCCTGCAGCCATGTCCTCTTTGAGCTTCCTTAGGGATCCTCTGAGATCATGAAGAGGCAGGAATGCAAGCCTGGTTCTGGCATGTGGCAGAAGAGCAGAGAGGCAGAGGGGCCAGTGGGCTCTGCTCAGAGCCGCACAGAAGGGTCAGCTCCAAAACCCTGACCTCCTAAGGCCAGCTCGTCCCCACACCACTACCTCTGCTCTCAGAACAGCTAGTTAAGATGTACGTTTCCATTCATTAACGTGTTATTAATACAATACGTATTCAGTCAAACTGATTTATTTTTCAAGCCACCCCTAAAAATACCCCAATAATATAGTAGCAAACGTAATATTTAGCACTCCCTATGTTCTATGCACTTCGTATGTCTTGTCTCATTTAATCCTTGCTGCCACCCCAGGAGGTACAGTTATCCCTGGTTTGTAGATGAGTACTGAGCCTTAGGGAGGCAGGGTCATGCAGCTAGAACAAGAACGTGATAGAGAGAGTGCAGGAACCCATGTCTGCCTTGACCGCTCTACCACAAAAGCACAGAGCAGTGCCATGTATCCTCACTTGGCTCTGCATCTTCCGCTCAGAGGAGGAACTGTTGAACCTTTTAATTCAGGGGTTTTACATATTTTGAGTCAAGGAATTTGACAAAGGATGTGGGTCCCTTCCACAGAAAAATATACACTGACACAAAGATTTGTGTTCAAATAAAGGAGACACATGGACCCTATAGAGCCAATGCTTTTTTGATATGAGGAGCTAAGATTCTTTCTAGATGAAAGTCCTTTTAACTGTATGCATGAGTGGCTGTGTCACAGGTAGGAAGACACCCTGCTGTTTTGGGGGCAGCTACATTTGTTTCCTGTTACAAAAATAATACATAACAAGGTCCCTTGAGGTGGTAGTGCTGTTATCCGCATTTTATGTGTGGGGAAGCACAGGGAAGCTAAGTGATTTGCATGTCACACAGGTATAAGTGAGAGAATCAGGGCTGAACACAGAATGTACAATACCACAGTCACTGCATCCTACCCACCTCTCGGCTAATAGGGTAGCCTTGCCAGGTCTTAATCTTCAGGGTACAATTCTTAATATGAAGGAATGCATGCTCATCTCCATATGGGATAAATAGGGTGTGGACAGTTTGGGAGTTCTTAGGAATCAGGGTTAAGCAGCCACAAATCTCTTTTTAGGTATAGCAGACACCAATTTTCTTATTTAATTGTGTGAGATTTGGCAGTTTGTTTATAAACCAAGACATGTTCAATCATCTAAACATAAACATCTAAGGCAAAATAAGGTGAAAAGTAAAATTGCCTCTGCCTTCTCACAAGCCACATGTTGTCTTAGGTGCTTTTCAGAGTAATCACTATATGAAGAGGCAAAAAGTACTTGAGCTTCACATTGTCTTTGGCCTTCTGATCTTTAGATCTCCAATATATGGTAGTTCTTACGTTATGTGAATATATCCCAGCAGCCTTGTTAGGCATGGACACTTTTTCTCTAGGGCAGAATCTTGTTGTCTATAATTTTTTGTAACTTGGGAAGTATTTAGGTGTTGCCTTCAAGTTTTAAAAACTTAACATATGTTAATACTTACTCATTAAAATATATTCTGAAAATTATGTGTAAAAGTTCATTTTTATAATATTGGGAGTGTGTTTGTGTGTGTGTATATATATAAAAAATATTATTTCTTTCCATATTCAGTGAAGAGATTATTAGATGCTGTGAGGAATAGTTATTGAAATTCTCATTTTGCTTTCCACTACTAAACAAAGGCTGTTTATATAATGAATGGACTATCTCTCTGAAAACATTGCGATATCCAAAATATACAATAATACAAATACTGATAAAGGATGGCCATTTTCTCTATTTACCTAAATTACTTGGTCCACTAGTTTTAATTTATGTAAATTTTCATACTTTGTTAAATGGGTGTTAATTTTTTTTTTCAAATCAAGCAAATAAAATATAGTATAAAGAAGAAATATCTTTACCTATATCCACCATTCAGTAAGACTGCAGTAAACATTTTGGCATACCACCTTCCAATCTTTTTATATGTCTTTTTTTGTTGTTTTTACTAACACTGTTTCTGTCTTTCAGGTATCAGCATCGTGTAGAATGGGCAGCAAAGCTCATGTGTAGACAGGGGCAGAATGAGAGTACCGTGCACAGAATCCTTGAGGATTACATAAAACCACTTGAGTATCCTCATATAAATAGAAATGAAGAGGTCCAATTGCCTGATGAGCTCAACTCTGAAATGGTTTCCACCATGGAAGGCACAGCAAGGAGAGAGAAACTTTCTGTGATGAATGGAGACTCTGGACAGTCAGATGCTATGGAGGATCTGAGTAGGCCGTCAGGCTGCCCGCAGGAGGGTTCTGGGCGGGACCCGCCAACGACAGGCAGCTACCACAACCGCGTGGCAGACGAGGACGCACCTCCGCCCCAAGTCTGTTGCTGCAAACCAGATGCTGTCATCCTCCAGCGTGGGCCTCACCCTGAGCATGGCGGCAAACACGCGTGTATCCTCTGTGCGGGGGAGAGAGGGCCTGACCACGAGTATGTGCTTGTGGAGGAAGTGGTGTGTGACAGGAACGAGAGTGAGGATGCCCCAAATGAGGAAGTAAGTAGAAGAAAATAAATGACTTCCTCCAAAGCCATCTGTTTCTGGAGATGCTGGCTCGTAGGGATGCCTGTTACCTGTAGCTGGTGGCTGGCCGGGTGTAAGATCTGAGGGAACCAGCAGGCAAAATCTTTTTTGTTTTTGTTTTTTTTTCTTTTTTTACAATACTAACCCAGCAGCATGTGAATCTTGGGAATTTGTAAGAAAATGTTTATCTTGAAATACAGTTTCTTCTGTGTGACATAAAGTACTTCTATTTGTTCTGTATATGTTTTCTTTCTCTTTAGTTGGTACAAAGAAAGAAACTAATATGCAGAAGAAATCCATATAGGATCTTTGAGTATTTGCAACTCAGCCTAGAAGAGGTATGTTTTCAACATGTTATCACTTCAGCTGTTGGCCTCTGGGCCTGGGTAACATCACATATGTGAACCTACCTCACAGTGTGGTTCTGTTTGTAACTCAGTAATTGAATATTGTAATTCAGTATTGAAATCACCTTGGGCAGCCTCCATATAGGCTTGCTCAGCATTTATTTCCTCATTTCTAAGATAAGTATTTGGGATTTCCCTATGTCATTCCACAGAGGATTCAAAGGGTTTATCTGAGCATTTCTTTTCTCATCAAGATTTCATATTGGCTGGATGTTATGTTAATTTCCACCAGCTTTTTAAAAAATACAGCTTTGTTGAGATGTCATTCACCTAGCATACAATTCATTCATTTAAAGTGTTCAACTCATTGTTTTTTAGTATATCCATGGAATTTCACGAACTTCTTTTTATTTTTTTTTTCAAGAAAATATGAGGCCAGGCAAGGTGGCTCACGCCTGTAATCCTAGCACTCTGGGAGGCCGAGGCGGGCGGATTGCTCAAGGTCAGGAGTTGGAAACCAGCCTGAGCAAGAGTGAGACCCCGTCTCTACTAAAAATAGAAAGAAATTAATTGGCCAACTAAAAATATAGAAAAAAAATTAGCTGGGCATGGTGGCACATGCCTGTAGTCCCAGCTACTCAGGAGGCTAAGGCAGTAGGATTGCTTGAGCCCAGGAGTTTGAGGTTGCTGTGAGGCTGACACCACGGCACTCTAGCCTGGGCAACAAAGTCAGACTCTGTGCCTCTCCCCCCCTCAAAAAAATATGAGAGTACAAACATTTTGGTTGCACTTTATATCTTTGCTTCTCCCTAGCTAGGGTTAAAGGTATGCCCTTCCCCTCCACAATGCTCACCACATCCCTCAGATGTGGGTCTACCCCCCCAACCCCCGAATCCCTGGTGAACACCACCACCATTTGAGCCCCACAGTGTTAATCAGTCAGTACCAATTGATGATGAGTATATGTGGAGTCCAATCTCCCGATCTGTGTCACCTCACTTTGGATAATAGGCTTAAGCTCAATCCAGGATAATGTAAGCGGTGCTAGCTCACTGTCATTTCTTAGAATTGAGTAATATTCCATTGTAAACATATACCAAATTTTAATAATCCACTCATGAATTGACGGACACTTGGGTTGTTTCCACATCCTTGCAATAGTGAATTGTGCTGCCATAAACATTCAGGTGCAAACGTCTTTATTATAGAATGTCTTATGCTCTTTTGGGTAGATGCCTAATAATGCTATTGCTGGATAGAATGGTATTTTCTATTTTTAGCTCCTTGAGGTATCTCCAAATTCTTTTCCACAAAGGTTGCACTAATTTGCAGTCCCACCAGCAGTGTAAGGGTGTTCCTATCTCCACATCCTCGCCAGCATTTGTTGTTTGGGGATTTTTTTGATAAAGGCCAATCTCACTAGGGTTAGGTGATATCTCATTGTGGTTTTGATTTGCATTTCTCTAATGATTAGAGATGTTGAGCATTTTTTTATATGTTCGCTGGCCATTATTCTGTCTTCTTTGGAAAAGTTTCTGTTCATTTCCATTGCCCATTTCTTGATAGGGTTGTTTGATTTTTTCTTGTTAATTCTTTTGAGTTCTAGATAGATTCTTGTTATCAGACCTAGAGAGCAAATATTTTCTCCCATTCTGTAGGTTGTCTATTTGCTCTAATGATAGTTTCCTTGACTGTGCAGAAGTTTTTTAATTAGATCAGATCCCATTTGTTTGTTTTTGTTGCTGTGATGATTGCTTTGGGGGTCTTCTTCAAGAATTCTTTGCCTAGGCTGATGTCTGAAAGGGTCTTCCCAACATCTTCTTCTAGGATTCTTAAGGTTTCATACCTTAGGTTTAAGTCTGTTATCCATCTTGAGTGGATTTTTGTGAAAGGTGAGAGGTAGGGATCCAGATTCATTCTTCTGCATGTAGCTATCCAGTTTTCCCAGCACCATTTATTGAAAAGAGATTCTTTTCCCCAAGGTATATTTTTGGGTGCTTTATCAAAGATTAGGTTACCATATGCAGATGGTTTCATCTCTGGAATCTCAGTCCTGTTCCAAAGATCAGTGCCTCTGTTCTTGTGCAAGTACCAGGCTGATTTGATTATTGTTGCTTTATAGTACAGCTTGAAATCAGGAAGACTGATGCCTTTCACTTTGTTCTTTTTTTACTTAAGATTGCTTTGGCTATACGAGGTTTTTTCTGGTTCCATACAAACTATTTAGTGATTCTACAGGAGGAAATAAATCTATTTACTTAATTAGCCAGTTACTATGTGATCTTAATCATGCATCATAATGTAAAAGGTAGTGAAATCTAGAGTTTCACCAGCATGGTTCTTGGTGTGTATATATAGGTCTCAGGAAGTGCTTATGGAGTGCATCTGTGTTAGTAATTTGATAGCTCTGCCCACAAGAAAGCAATTGTGTCTCCACATTCTGGTCTGTGCTTGCTTCCTTACAGAGAGGCCAGTGATACAAAACATAGACTTTCAGAGCAGGAAAGGATATGTGGAATTATTTATCTCTTCATTTTACAAATGAGACAGCTTAGTCTACCATGACATACTATAGCTGGTATCTATGTGTGACAATTTAATTTGAACTAATTAAAATTGAATAAAATTCAAAATTTCATTTCTCAGTTGCACCAGCCACATTTCAAACACTGAGTAGCCGCGTGTGGCCAGTGGCTACTGTTGGACAGCACGCACGTGAAACATGCCCAGCATTGCGAAGAGCTCTATCAGACAGCACTGTTGGTACCTGTTCTCTAGGGGTTTGACCTCTCAGAGCCTCAGTCAGATTTATTCTCTATAAAGTGGGGGCTATCCAACACCTCCTTCTTAGGATAATGCTCTGGAAATTAAATAACGTGTGTAATGGGTTCAGCGCAGTGCCTGGTTTATAGTAAATGCTTAGTAAATGTTAGTGCCTGCTATTTTTGTCATTATTATTACTTGCAAAAGCTATATGGTAGGCCAGGCACAGTGGCTCACGCCTAAAATCCTAGTGCTCTGGGAGGCCAAGGCAGGAGGATCACACAAGGTCAGGAGTTCAAAACCAGCCTGAGCAAGAGCAAGACCCCATCTCTACTAAAAATAGAAATTAATTGGCCAACTAAAAATATATAGAAAAAATTAGCCGGGCATGGTGGCGCATGCCTATAGTCCCAGCTACTCGGGAGGCTGAGGCAGAAGGATTGCTTGAGTCCAGGAGTTTGAGGTTGCTGTGAGCTAGGCTGATGCCAGGGCACTCTAGCCCGGGCAACAGAGTGAGACTCTGTCTTAAAAAAAAAAAAAAAATCTATATAGTAGCTTGTTGAAACTCTCTCTTTTATAATCAAAAAAATATCCACTGGATACTTACTGTGTGCCAAGCACTGAGCTGAGTATTAGCAATACAGAAATAAACAGAATATGACTTCAGTCCTAAAGATAGCCCAGAAATCATTACAGTTCAATGGAATGGGCACAATGTGGCATATGAGTTGTGTCAGTCTTTTTTTTTTTTTTTTTTGAGACAGCCTGAGCAAGAGCGAGACCCCGTCTCTACTAAAAAAGAAAAAAAATAGAAAGAAATTAATTGGCCAACTAAAAATATATAGAAAGAAAAATTAGCCGGGCATGTTGGCGCATGCCTGTAATCCCAGCTACTTGGGAGGCTGACGGAGGATCGCTTAATCCCAGGAGTTTGAGGTTGCTATGAGCTAGGCTGATGCCATAGCACTGTAGCCTGGGCAAGAGAGTGAGACTCTGTCTCAAAAAAAAAAAAAGCTGCAGCTGTCTGGTGTCTGGTGCCTCCTCTTGAACACCCCGTGAGGAAAGGCAAGAGTAATAGGAGATGAAGTTGCTTTGCGTTCTTGAAAGTTGTTTGGTGCCTGAGAACGTTCCAGAGACTTGTCACAGAAGTTTTCAAGGAGCATACAGTTAAACCTAGCTCTACTTCTCAGTTCTATTTTGGCATATTTACTTCAAATGAATCACCCATGTTTGGCACACGACTTGTACAGCTTATATTTTGGTCAGGAACGGGGGCATTTGTTAGAGCTGGAATGCGGTCTCGCCCCTGCTTGGCAATACACAGCAGCTCTCCCGAGGGATGGAGAATAATAATGCCACAGTTGACTTGACTTAAAGATCTGCTCAGCACTGACAAGAAACTTTTGGTCTTTGACCAAAATTTGGATGTGCAACCTGGTAGGGGTGTTTTCATGCCTCTACCATGACTCATTCAGAACGGACACTGACATTTTGACAGAGTAACTGAAGAGCTGCGAATTGCAGTTACCCAGTTATTTCTGAAGAGCTCGTCTCTGTCCTGCATCTGCACCCTTCCATAGACAAGCACACACACGCCAACGCTCATATGCTTTTTAATTAACAAGCTCCAGTGAATTTTCTACATGAAGAAAAGGAGTATGCCAGGTTGGGGTGACTACGGTGAGCTGGCTGAGGACTCACCATGCGCCTGACAGTGTGGCAGTCTATTCTCACAAATGCTGCTTCCTCTCATGCCCCAGGCTCTTTCCATTTTGTACCCCAACCTCTCTTTTTTCCATGTTCCCCGCCCCTAGTGTCTATAATACATATTCCAAGTCTCAGTTGTTCCCCGCCCCTAGTGTCTATAATACATATTCCAAGTCTCAGTATCCAGTGATGAGAGTATCTAAGGTTTTTCATTAGAGATTTTTGGTTACTTTTTGCTGCTATGTTGATTGTGACTGGCTTCTCCACCCCCTACCCCGCCCCATAGGTCAGTGACTTTCCATATGTCTGAAGTTGTGAAAGCTATCTGTAGACTTAGACTGTGAGACAGAGTTTGAGTCTATTTAGCAAAAATATATACTTACATCAGCACCTTTTGAATAAGGTTGTAAAGACTACTCTAATTTTTCTCCATAAATATATTCTGCTTAATTGTATAATCAGACACATAGGAAACTTCAGGTGAACTGCTGTGAGGATCTGGTTTAAAAAGCCTTTGTGTG